TAGGGGAGGGTACAGGGTGGGGACTAGGAGAAGTGCTGGGTAGGGTTTAGGGAAGGTGCAGTGTGGGGGTTAGAGGAGGTGCAGGGTGGAGGCCAGGGGAGGTGCAGGGTTCAGGACCCAGCACCCTCCCCTCTGCAGGCTCGCTGCCCCCACCTGAGCTTCAGGCTGAGCCCTCGGCCACCCCCAAGCCCGGGGCGCTCACGAGGTTGCGGTGCAGGGGCCCGCGGGCTGGCCTCCGCTTTGCACTGGAGCAGAAGTCGGCGTGGGTGTCCAGGTGGCACGGCCTGCGGAGTCCAGTGGGCGCCGAGGCCCTCTGGGAGCTGCTGGACGTGTCAGCGCTGGACTCGGGCAACTACAGCTGCGTCTACACTGACCCCGCGACGCACCCCGCCGGCTCAGCGCGCAGCGCGGCCCTGGAGCTGCTGGTGGAGGGTGAGCTCGCTTTCCCGGGGTCACAGGGAGGGGCTGGGGGTGCCCCTCTTCTCCAGGGTTGGAGGACTGTGGTGCTTGGCTCTGTCCTTGGGGAGTTTCCCCAGGGCCCTGAAGCTTCCTGCCAGCGTTCCCGCCCTCCATGCCTGTTTCCTTGTGGCAAACACAGGTCCCGTTGGACATCCCTATTGGACTATGAGGGAGCCCTTGGTGGCATAAAGGTTACGCGTTGGGCTGCCATCTGCACGGGCGGCAGTTCGAAACCACCAGCCCTTCGGCGAAGGGGAAAGACTGGGCTGTCTACTCCCGTCAACGGGTCCAGTCTGGGAAACCCATGGGCTGGAGGACAGCGCGTTTGGTTTTAGTGGGTTAGGACCGCTTAGGCAGTGTCCATCTCTATTCCCTCAGGGCCAGTGACCCCTAAGCCTGGTCTCCAGGGGGCAGAGGGCATGCAGTCCCAGGGCGGCTGACCCACTTTGCTGGGTTGGCCCCTTCCCTCCATCGTTTGATTTTTTCCCCCTCAAGCGTCTGAAGCCTTGAGGGCCTGATGGGGGGTGTCCCCAAGAAGTGTCTGAGCAGGCTGCAGGCCCCTGGCTGGGCTGGGCACTCGCTGGACACAGATGGTTAAGAGAACAGCATAGGGACCACGGGAGGTGACATCTACGCTCAGAGTCCATGATGGGTGGATGCTGGGCTTGTCTGCCTGGGGGAGGCTTTCATGCCCACCCCCTGGTGGGTGGAAGGGATCCACCCTACTGAGGAGGCTGCTCCATCTGCTAGGTCCCCCTCCAAGGCCGAGGCTCCAGCCCCTGTGGCAGGGGGAGGTGACGCCAGGCCGGGACGTGGTCCTACGCTGTGTGGGCCCCGTGTCCAATTTGCAATTTGAGCTGGTGCGTGAGGGTGAGGAGGCGGAGGCGGTGGACACCGCTGGAGGGGACCTTGTGCTGAACAACGTGGGGCCACAGCATGCTGGCAACTACCGCTGCCGCTACCGCGTGGGGTGGCCCAGTCCCTTGGTGTCCGAGCTCAGCGACCCTGTGGAACTCCGGGTGGCAGGTGAGAGCTCCCTTGGGCCTGAGTCTGGGGGGACCCATCTTCCAGAAATGTGCATGCCCAGACAGTGTGTGTGAGTGTAGAGGGGTGGGTAAGGGATTTGAAGGCAGGGGATCAGAGGCCCAGGAGCAGGACGTGTTTGGTCCTTGGAGGCCTGGGGTGGGGGGTGACGGTGGGGGCAGCGGAAGGACCACAGGAAGCTCTGCCCTGAGAGGTAGACACAGAATCCCCCTACCAGACTTTCCCCAGAGAAGTAGGCACAGAATCCCCCGCTAGGTTGTCCTTGGCCTCCTGAGTTCACCCCAACCCTCATTTTCCTTTTGTCGTATTTGTCAAAAGGAAGTTGACCGTGCAGCGGACCTGCCACCAGCCACCGTGACCTCTGGAAACACTCTCTGGTCTGGCTTCTATTCTTCCTGCTGCAGCTGGACTCGGGGAGCCCCCCACCCCTTTCCTCTCGGGAATTAATAAAGGAGGAAATACTTGGTTTGAACTTGACTTTGGCTAATGGGTCCAGAGCAGGCCTAGGGGGTCTGAGATCTGGGATGGAAGCTTGGATTCAGAGGGGCCCAGGGGCTAGACTCTGGGCCCCAAGGGAGGGCAGGATGGAGGCTGGATCTGGGCCCTTGTGGCTTCTCTGCCCTGGTTCCCTAAGCTGCCCAAAACGCACTGGGCACCAGTCTGCCCCCACCCAGCAGGTGTGTGCAAGCCTTCCCTACAGCTGGGGTAGCTCCAGGTTCGAGACCCATCCCACCCTAGTTGGCTGCATCTGCTCCGGCTGGGGCAAAAACAAACAGAAAACAAACCACTGCCTTCAAATCGATTCCAAATCAACTCGTAGTGACCCTACAGGGCAGAGTAGAACTTAACCATCTACCAAAGCTGAGCACATCTTTCTCCCCAGAGGGAGGCGCTGGAAGGTTCCAACTGACCTTTCTGTGCCACCAGGAGGTCATTCAGAGGCTTTGTGGGCCCATCTAGCTGCTCCCACAGCCTCCCGGTGGCACTATGGACCTTGTCCTGAGGCCAACCTAGCTGTGAGAGGGGCCAGGCCCGACTCTGTCTGAGCCCCTCCTGCTTCCCTATGTTTCAGTGTTCCATTTTATCCAGGAACAGGAATACTGATAAAGAAGGGTAGGGAGAAGGGGGTGCGGGAGGGAAGGGAGGGGGAACCGATCACCGATCATAATGATCGACACACATCGACACACCCTCCTTCCAGGATAAAAACAACAGAAACCATGGGGGAAGGGAGACAGCGGTCGGTGTGAGATATACAAATAATATAATTTAAAATCTATCAAGGGGTCATGAGGGTTGGTGGGAGGGGTAAAAAGAGGAGCTGATATCAAGGGCTCAATAAAAAGTAATTTTCTAGAAATGAATGATGGCAACATATGTATGAATATGCCTGATACAATTGATGTATAGATTGTAATGAGTTGTAAGAGCCTCCAATAAAATGATCTTTTAATAAATAAAAAAAAAATCAGGCTTATGGAGAAAATGACATTGGAGATACAGAAAATTCCCATGTACCCCTTTCCTGGCATCCCTGTTTCTATTATTATTTTTTTAAGTTTGGTGGTTCCAAACTAAAAAATTCACTGCCATCAAGTCAATTCTGACTCATAGTGACCCACCCTTACAAGACTGTGACTATTTCTGGGAGTAGAAAGCTTCATCTTTCTCAAGTAGAACAGCTAGTAGTTTTTGAACCGCTGATCTTGCAGTTAGCAGTCTTACACGAAACCCACAATGCTAGCAGGGCTCAGTGGTGATTCCATTGAACCAATAGGTCTATCAGGGAGGTAACACACTCTCTATAACAATCAGCCACACAAGATGGAAAGGGCAGGGTTTGCAGAGAAACAGGACAGGAAAGAAGGGTGAATGGGAATGGTCAACTGCGTGGGGACTGCAGTCAATGTCTCGAATCAAAATGAGAATGAATTGTTGAATCGAAAACCCATTTCCTCCAATCCCGATAGGAGTTAAAAATAACAACAGAACTATTTCATTCTTGTGATTATTTTACTTTTTCTTGCCATTTGGGTAAAAGTATAAAGAGCAAATTAGTTTCCATTCAACACTTTATGGACATTTTGTTTCGTGGCATTGGTTGTGGCACCCTTAATGCAGCAGCACTCTGCCCACATCCCTGATTTCCCTTTTCATTTGTCTGTCTCTCCTGCCTCTGAGCTGTTTCCGGATAAATGCTGCCCCTTTGGTTGTCTGTGGTTGCTTGTATAGTGATTCTCTTTAGTCGTTATCTTACTTAACTCTTCTTGAGTATGTTTTGGTAGGTCATAGTTTTTCCAGACTAGTATTCATCTGAAATTTGAAATGATTGCCATAAATACATTCACGTGATTGTCTCTGTTATTCCTGTAGTTACATACCCTTTTCAGTCCTGGCATTTGTGTCTTCTCGTGTAATTGCTGATCCAACACGATGGTTTTGGTTTTACTCTTTACTGCTCTCTTTCCTCTGTCCTTCCTTGTACGTTCTTGAACAGCTCTGGTGGTGTAATGGATTACACATTGACCTGCTAAACACAGGCCAGCAGTTTGAATCCACCAACTGGTCCCAGGGAGAAAGATAAGGCTGTCTACTCCTGTATAGATTTAATGTCTCAGAAACCCAAAGGGCAATTCTACCCTGTCCTATAGGGTCGCTGTGGAGACATAGCAATTGACTCAATGGGAATGAAGATTCTACTTTCTTAAATTTTCTCTGTTAATTACTCAAGTTAGACCTTTGCCTAATCAATTAAAAAAAATAATTTCTTATTTCCACTACTGCACTTAAGACTAGAATTCCCTCTAAGCTCTTCTCTGGAATTATCTCGTTTGTTATAAAGATTTTAATTATTGCTTTCATCTAGATATTTCCCAAACTCTGTATAAAAATCATGTAAAATTGCCATTTTATATTTGACCTATTAACCCATCAGTGTTTTATTGTTTCTTTTGTTGTTTTCTTTTCTGGTTCACATCTAACTTTATTGCCTTGGGTCAGGACACTGGTTCGTTAACATAAATCAGGAATTGTTTTTTAATCATTTTATTGGGGGCTCGTACAACTCATCACAATCCATACATCCATCCATTGTATCTAGCACATTTGTACCCATCATCATTTTCAAAACATTTTCTTTCAACTTGAGCCCTTGGTCTCAACCCATCATTTGTTTCCCCTCCCTCCCCACTCCCTCCCTCACGAACCCTTGATAATTTATAAATTATTATTTTGTCATGTCTTACACTGTCCAATGTCCCCCTTCACCCACTTTTCTGTTGTCCATCCCCAGGGAGGGGGATGTCAATCCTTGTGATCATTTTCTTCTTTCTACTCACCTTCCCCTTACCCTCCTGGTATACTCTCATTATTGGTACTGAGGGGTTTACCTGTCCTGGATTCCCTGTGTTTCCAGTTCCTGTCTGTACCAGTATACATCCTCTGCCCTAGCCAGATCAGTAAGGTAGAATTGGAATCATGATAGTGGGGGGAGAAAGCATTAAAGAACTGGAGGAAAGTTGTATGTTTCGTCATTGCTGTACTGCAACCTGACTGGCTCGTCTCTTCCCCTCAACCCTGCTGTAAGGGGATGGCCAGTTGCCTACAGATGGGCTTTGGATCTCTATGCCACACTCCCCCTCATTCACAGTGATTATTTTTTGTTCTTTGATGCCTGATACCTGATCTCTTCAACACCTCGTGATCACACAGGTTGGTGTGCTTCTTCCATGTGAGCTTTGTTGCTTCTCAGCTAGATGGCCGCTTGTTTATCTTGGGAATTGTTTTATCTAAAACAAAAAAAAGACTGTTCTGTAGTCGCCATGTGGAGGGTTCGGCACATACCTGTGAGCGAAGCTTATGAATTTGTGCTAAAAAAAATCCTCAGTATCTTTCCTGGTGTCTTACCTCTTTATATGTCATCCTAAGAGTTACCATGTCCAACTACACATTATGGTTTCACCAGTTATTTGTCCCTGAATAGCTATGGAATGAAGTGTCCAGTTTTGAAATATTAAACCTTCCTGATATGTTGTTCCTCTAACCAAGACATAGTGACCCTGGGCGGTGCAAATGCTTAAGCATTCGACTACTGACTGTAAGGCTGGCAGTTCAATTCCATCCAGAGCCACCTCATAAGAAATGCCTGATGATCTACTTCTGAGTACTCACAGTCATTGAAACCCCGATGCAGCGGGTCTACGATGCCACACATGGAATCGCCATGAGTCAGAACTGGCTAAGCACTGGCCTTTGGACCTATTGGTCATTGGCTAAGTATCCCTAATAATGCTTTTTGGAGCTTCAAGTCTATTTTGTCTGAAATTATAGAGCTCCATCATCTTTTTTCAGGCTCACTGCCTGCCTTAGGTCTTTCCTGCCCCTTTACCTTAGACCAGCTGTTCTCAACCTGGGGGCTGAGATCCCTTTGAGGGTCAAATGACCCTTTCACAGGGGTCACCCGATTCATAACAGTAGCAAAATGACAGTTACGAAGTAGCAACGAAAATAATTTTATGGTTGGGGGGTGGTCACCACAACAGGAGGAACTGTATGAAAGGGTGGAGGCATTAGGAAGGTTGAGAACCACTGTTCTAGAGGGACTCTACAACTCCAACCTCACTGGAGTAGAGCCCTATCAGCGTAAGGTTTGTCGAAAGGCAAGGCTGTTGCTCAGAGCTCCTCCCTGCCATCCAGTCAATCAGCAACCTGCTGTGGGATTCCGAGACTGTAGCTGTTTATAGGAGTAGAAAGCCAGGTCTTGGTCCCAAGGAGCTGCTGGTGGTTTCGAACTGCCGACCATGCGGATCGAAGCCCAATGCATACCCACTACACCACCAGGGCTCCCTTTGAGAGAGTCAGGAATGCCCAATTGTAAGAGGCAGTCAGGGAGAACAAAGACACAAAGTTGGCAACTACTAAGCCCTTGTGAGAACAGACTCAATGTAGTAACATCTTATTGAGGCCACAACATCCCAGGGGCCTCTGACTTTGGGGGGCTGGGAAATTCAGACTGCTCGTGTTCTGTAGGGCCACAGCCTGAAGAAGGGCGACAGTCATATGAACCTGTGTAAGAATGACTCGGCGCGGAGGGTAGTGACAGCCTCGTGGGAGGCAGCAGGTGCTGTATGTGCATTCCACAGACATGGGTCAGGGCCCATTACAGCTTGTGTGCTGTGGGTACCAAGAGTAAGACGTGGCCCTCACGGTTGGCGTGCAGTCTCCTCAGGAAACACACACGGTGAGCTGCACAGGAGTGAACACATGCAACACGGTAGACCTTGTAGGACAGATAGGCAGCACAGGCTACCCTGGTAGCAGAGAGGGTGAGACTGACTCTGCTTGGGGATCCAGGGAAGATCCCCCCCACCTGGGAAAACATTCACAACACCGTGGGGGATGAGAATTGTTGCCAGGCAACTAGGAGGAGACAAGGAGGTTTCCAGGCACAGACACAAAGGACCCACAGCAGTTTCACGGGACTGTTGTGTGGGTGGCGATGAGGCCGAGGAGCACAGAGGCTGGGTCATGGGGGTTTGTGAATGCCAAGTGAGGGAGCCTGAAGTTTACCCTGTAGGGCAGCACTTTCCAATGCCTTATACACCACGGCACACGCAGAAAAACAGCACCATTTGTATGGCACACATGATGGGAACCAGAAAGGTTTCTTGAGGCCAAAGTGACCTCCAATTCGGTGTACTCATAAGCAGTTCCAGGAGTTTTGTGGTAGGTGACACAGTGCAGACTTTCTGCCAGGGAGTGAGACACAGTCAGATTTGTGTTGTAGGAAGAGCCCCCTGGAGGCCCCTGGGACAGTCGCACAGAGGAGAACAGCAACAGGGGGGGGCGGGGGAGACCCCCTGCTGTAATCCAGGTAAGATTAGTGATGAGGGCTGAGATAAGGGGGTAGTGGTGGAGGAGAAGATGAATCAGATGAATTAGGTAAGCCCCACAGAGCTGGGGGCTGGTGGGATAAGGGTGGAGAGGGGAAGAGAGACTGATGATGGATAAGTGTCAAGCAGCAACATCAATGAAGATGGGTGACAGGAGAGAGACTGAGCGTGCGAAGGCTTTGTGGACCAGACAGCCCCACATGTCAGAGTTAGACATGAATCAGGGGAGGGTGGAAACAGTTGGCTCAAAGGCACAGAGGTGGGTGTAGTCAGGCATCCCTGGGTTACCGAGGAAAGGAGCAGGTAAGAAGAGGTGGAAATGAGACGCTGCCAGCACAGAGCATCTTGGGAGCTAAGTCATGACAGACACTACACATCAGTAGCTTTTTTGCCTTTGAGGACCAATCAGAATCCTCAGCTCAGCTGTCCTCTCTCCATGACAACCCTAAGTGAGTATGGAGGGCAGCAGGGCTCCTCTGGAAGATTCTTCAGCTGCCCTGCATCACTGTGTGATTATTAAGCCTCCACCCAGGTTCCCACATGCAGACTTGTTCCTGGATCATTTCAGAGTTTACCTTTAAGCATGTGGTTATTTTGGGGGTCATATCATGCACCTCATTCTCTTTGGTTCTTCTGGAACTCGGGGTTTCTCCTAGATGTTGAGCCTCCCAGGGGAGGCTGCACTGCACCCCACAGGCATTTTCCAGTCACTGTAGCACTGTGATGTAGATTCTCAGGTGAAGTAGGAAGGTTGGCCTATGACTGAAGGTTTTCCCACAGTCACTGTAACACTGAGATGTGGGTGCTCAGGTGAACATGAGGGCTGAACTACGACTGAAGGCTTTTCCACAGTTATTGCACTTATAGGGTTTCTCTCCTGTGTGGGTCCTCTGGTGCTCAATGAGGGAGGAGCTCTGAGCAAAAGCCTTTGGACAAATCTTACACTGATATGGCTTCTCTCCAGAATGGATCCGCAGGTGTCTAATCAGAGCTGAGCAGTCACTAAAGGCTCTCCCACCCACGTCACACTTGTAGGGTTTCTCTCCAGTGTGAATCCACTGGTGCTGAGTCAGGTGGGTGCTCTGACTGAAGGCCTTCCTGCACTCCTCACACTCACACAGCTGCTCCCCTGTGTGCACCCGCTGGTGCTGGGTGAGGTGGGTGCTGCGGCTGAATGTTTTGCCAGTCTCCATATCTGTAGGGTTTCTCTCCAGTGTGGATCCTCTGGTGCTGTGTCAGGTGGGTGATTCGGCTGAAAGCTCTCCCACATTCTTTACACTCATGAGGCTTTACCCCGGTGTGGATGACTTGATGCTGGGCCACGTGAGTGCTCCGGCTGAAGGCTTTCCTGCACTCACTGCAGGTATCGGGTGTCTTCCGAGAATGGCTCTTCTGATGTGCCTCCAGGGCCCGGGAGCTCCTGAATGATTTTCCACAGCTGCCGCACTTGGAGGACCTGAGCCCTGAGAACGTGCGGGGAGGCTGAGTCCTACACCTGTCTGATGAATCTAGTATCTTTTTGGACGGCGCCTTTCCTCCTGAGGCAAAATGTGGTCTCACACTGGGACTGTTCCTCAGGGTACCATCATCACAACTGGGCTTGTCTGTGGAGGCATCCATGTGGGGCCCTGAAGTTTTCCTGAAATCCCTTTGTTGAGGAAAAGACTTTGTCCAAGTCTACCCTGAGAATCCTGCCGGCCTCTCCAAGCTGCCCTCAGGTCCACAGCTATTGCCAAAGGCTCCCACGAGGATCTCAGTGACCGTGTCTTCCAATTCACTCTGCTCGCAGCTTGCCTCTTCGAGCTCAGGTCCCGGCTCCCAGCCTGAAACCACCCAAACCAGTGTCAGCAATTTGTATACACCTCGCCTCCCACCTGTCCTCAGCCACTGGCTGGGGAGCCACAGGCTGCTCCTGACATTGAGCCCCATTTCCAAGGGAAGCTTTGCATCGAGTGTCTTGATGACAAAAGGGTACAAGGCCAGTCCCCCATCCAGTCTGAAATTTCACCAGGGGTTCCAATTTATTATTTTCTCCCCTGTACTCAAACACTCTGTCCTTCCAGGGTCTTCAGAATGGCTGAAGCATTAGAAGGAAAACACCGAGGTTGAACTGATACAAAAGAGCAAGGAAAACTGAGCTGGGCTTATTAGGGGGTGGTTTGTTCTTATCAGGCATCTGTGCACACCTGGGCAGGCCCTGAGCACAGGCGGGCAGGATCTTCCTCTGGGCCAAGCCCGGTCTGACAGCTGAAGATGCTCAATGGATGCTGGCTTAGTGAGGGCATCAGTCCCAGATCCTGGTGGCTGGAATCTTCCACAATAGATTCTGACACCCAGAAGCCAAAGTAGACAATGGATGCTGCAGGTGGGCAGGGGAAGCAGATGAGCTGAGGCTGTGGCTCCAGGCTCCCGGGAGATCTGAAGCTCGCCCTTTACAAAGCACTTTCTTTTTCTGTTGTTTTGTTTTTAAGATAGTTGTGCTCTTATAACAATCCATACATCAATTGTATCCAGCATATTTGTACATATGTTGCCATCACTGTTTTCTAGACATTTACTTTCCCTTTGAGCCATGGTGTCAGCTCCACAAAGCACTTTCTTAAGGGCCAGGTAAAGGTAAGGGGCAGTTATAGGTCCGGGGTAGACGAGACACAGGTGTGCCCACACTGATTTATCCTTGTAAACCTCAAAGGTTTCCTGAGGATGCTTAATCTGGCAACATTCTAATGGACAGATTCCAAGAATAGTTGAGCCAGACAGGCGGCGCTATTGGGGTAGAGAGTAACTCCTGCCCAAGTATATGGAGGCTCAACAGTACAGAGTGGGCTCCAGCCCCAGCTTGGCTGCTATCTGGCTCTGTGTCTGAGGGCAAGTCTGCCCTCTCCGGGGCCTCTTTCCCCACCTGGAAGACAGGACCCCTAATACTGCCTCCCTCATGGGGCTGCTGGGTATTATCAGACTCTTGTCATGTGCTAGACTCCAATTGAGGTGTGCCGATTCAAGTGCCTGCTTGCATCCTCAAAAATCACCTTCAGAAGGGACTATGGCAGTGGCATTTCAGATGGAGAAACTGAGGCGTAGACACACCACAGATGATTAATTTGAGTAACATCTGTGCCTGCTTACACAGTTGGCCAGAGGCCATGCCCCAGAGAATCTTTTCCTGGCCTCTGGTGCCCCCTCCTGGTCACCACCCACCTCGTGCTTCCCACTGGGCCCTCTCTCCAGGTGGTTTATATCACCTTTACCTGGAGAATTTGGTCTTTGTCTTAGGTTCCTGAGAGTAAAACTTTAAAACCATGGGTTTCCCCGTGCGGCCGAGATGCCTTTGTGGACTGAGAGGCATCCAGACCACACCTGAGTTTACTCTAATGAGATGACGTTGGTGTGAGGGTGGGACCTAAGGGGGAGTGGGCGGATGTAATCAATCATGATTTTGTAAGGAGGCCCCAATACATGTTTTATACAGAAGCTGGCACATGGGAAGATAATGCCACCCTTTTGGGGACACGGGAGCTCCAGGTTGGAACTCAGACCTCACCCTAGGGGTCTCTTCCCTGGTATCGTTTTTCTGAGAATGAAACCGTCATTGTTAAGGACAGCATTTCCCCTGAGTGCTGTGAGCTCCCATGAGTTCTCCAACTCCAGGAGCAGTGGGAGCCAGCAAGTCAAATGGGAGGGAGGACTGGGAACCCCTTACCTTTTGCACGTATTAGGTTAGAATGGAGGGGGGCTGGAAACCCCCAAATTTGAAACCAGCAGGTTAGAGGTGAGCAAGCCTGAGAGGTCCAAGTGTGTGGCTGGCATCCGGAAGGGACCCCCAAGGATGGGACCAGCTGCTGTTCCACTCACTTTTGGATCCCAGACTCCAGCCCTGGGATGGCTACCAAACGTGCCTCAGGGGAACTGATTGGATGAGGGAACCATCGAGTGAGTGACTGGGGGTGGCTCACTGAATCCTCTGTGGGTTATGTGTTGGGCTGCTAACCACAAGGTTGGCAGTTCTGACCCATCAGTCAGTCCTCAGGAGAAAGATTCTGCTTTCTATTCCCACAATGATTCACAGCCTTGGCAACCCTCGGGTAGTTCTACTCTGTGTCCTCTATTGGTCAGAATCAACTTAATGGCAGTGAGTTTAGTGTTTTACTGACTATACAAAGGCTTGGACTCTCTGGATCACATGAATTGTGGATAACATTGCCCAGCATAGGAATTCTAGAACACTTAATTGTGCTCATGCAAAACCTTAGCCAAACCAAGAGGCAATCATTTGAACAGAACAAGGGGATGCCGCGTGGTTTGAAATTTTAAAAAAGGTGTGTGTCAAGGTTGTATCCTTTCACCATACATATTCCATTTGCACACTGAGCAAAAGCTCTAAGAAACTGGCCTACATAAAGAAGAACGGGCATCAGGGTTGGAGAAGGATTCATTAACAACCTGCAATGTTTAGATGACACAACTTTGCTGGCTGAAGCCAGGAAGATTTAAAGCACTTACTGAGGAAGATCAAAGACTACACCCTTCAGTATGGCTTCTACTTCAACTTAAAGAAAATAAAAATCCTCACAAATGGACCAATAAACATCATAATAAATGGATCAAAGGTTGAAGTTGTCAAAGATTTCATTTTACTTGGATCCACAATCAATGGCCATGGAAGAAGCAATCAAGAAATCAAACTTGACGTAGTGTATTGGGTAAACTGGCAGCAAAAGACTTCTTTAAAGATGAATAACATGGGTATTTTCAATCACCTCATATGCCTGTGAACGTTGGAGAATGAATGAGGAAGACTAAAGAATTGATGCGTGTGAATTATGGTGTTGGTAAGGAAAGTTGAACATATCACGATGAACCAGTCTGTCAAGGAACGAGTTACGGTCAGAATGCTCCTAGAAGCAGGGATGGCGAGGCTTTGTGTAGCGCACTTTGGACATGTTAGCAGAAGTCCCCAGTCTCTGGAGAAGGATGTCATGCTTGGTATAGTAGAAGGTCGGTGAAGAAGAGGAAGCCCTTCAATGAGATAGACTGGCACAGTAGCTCCACGAAAGCAAGACTGTGAGGATGGCACAGAATCAGGCAGTGTTCCATGCTGTCATGCATACACAGGGCACTAGGAACCAGAGCCAACTCAGTGGACCCTCCCACCATATCGATGGTGCTAATCCCATTTAGGTACGGGCTGTCTGCTACACTAATGTTAGCGGACAGTGCATATTAAATCAATCTCTCTGGAGGTAGGAAAGAATAGATTAGGAAAGGAGAGATAGGGAAAGATAGAGCCAGGCCACTGAAGATCACCAAGCAGCCAAGGGATAGAAGCTGAAAAGAGACAAGGACCTTCTCCCAGAGTGGACAGAGAGAGAATGCCTTCTTCTAGAAGCAGGGATTCTCAACCTTCCTAATGCTTCGACCCTTTAATACAGTTCCTCATGTTGTGGTGACGCCCCCCAAAATCATAAAATTATTTCCCTTGCTACTTCATGACTGTAATTTTGCTACTGTTATGAGTCAGGCAACTCCTGTGAAAGGGTCGTTTGCCCCTCAAAGGGGTCCCGACCCACAGGTTGAGAACTGCTGCTCTAGAGCCTAAGTCTCCCCTCCTAAAGTGTGAACAAACAAAGCCACCACTCGCAGTGTCTCTATTACAGCAGCACTGGGTAACTAGGAGCCCTTCTGAGATAGGGTCTTGGGGGTCAGGCAACAGGTGGTCAGGGCAGTGAAGGCGGGGGCCTCATTCTGATGGGGCCGTGGCCTTGCTGGGAAAATCAGGAAATGGCTAGTAGACGCTCAGCCCTCAGCACTACCATTCACAGGACCAGTCACCTGCACCAGGGCCTGTCATCTCCCCTACCTGTACCCACCACCCTACTCTTCTCCCTGTGCCTGTTGGTTCCTCCACCAGGGGGCACTGTTAGGGCGCAGAGTCAGTGCCAAAGGGAGAAAAACAGAGAAGTCCACATGACTTTGGGTGGCCCAGCCGCTGTGGAAACAGTCTAGAAGTTTCGTAAGTTTACATTTAGAGTTACCGTTGTTAGCTGGCATTCAGACAGCCGGACCCATGGAGAAGTCACGCATTAGGGAACAGGGCTGTGTTCAAATAGGGCTTTTTTGGCTTTTGATTATGGAAGCAGTTTGCCAGGCTGGATGGGTGGGCTCAAACCATTAATCTTCTAATTTGACAGCTGATTTCAAAACACTACCCCACCCAGACTCCTAGGGTTACCATATAACTCAGCAATTCCACTCCTAGGTATTTATTACTGGAGAGAACCAAGAACATTTACATACAGATATTCACAGCAGCATGTTGTGACAGCCCCCAAATGGAAACAACCCGAAAGGCCAGGAATTGGTGGACAAATGAAATTATGCTGAGTCCAAGAAGCCAGATACACATGGTCAGACATTGTGTGACTCCATGTTACGGGTTCAACTGTGCCCCCCCTCCCCGCCCCCCAAAAAAGATATGAAATCCTAACTCCTATCCCTGTGAATGTCACCCTGTTTGGAAACAGGGGTTTTCTTTTATGAGATATTAAAGTAGAATGAGCCCTAACCCCACACACTTATGAATGGTGCCTTATAAAAAGTGCCAAAGAGCCCCAGACACACAGAGGACAATGCCATGTGAGGATCCCTCTAATCTACAAGTCAAGGAATTGCAAAAAGAAACAAGGAATGACCTCCCCGCTGAGAAGACTTCCTGAGCCACTTCCCCTCTACCTCTCCAGGGGCTCCATGAGGCTCATGAGACTTAAGGGGTGCTGCCTTTGTCAGAGTCCCTCTCTCCTGCCAGTCAGGGAGGCACCAGAGCAGGGGCCAGCAGTGCACATGCAGAGTGCTGGCTGAAGGGAGAGGCACATGTCCACCAAAGGGCCCACATCGCACATTAAGGCTTGTGCTGGCCTGTTCCAGGTGGGGAGGATGCCTCCTTACCTCATATTTCACTGTCAGGGGCTCCATGCCTGCCCACCCATCGTTGCCAAAGTTCCCAGTCAGAAGCAGATCAGAGTCCTCAGTGAACAGCACTGGAGAGGAGAGAGAAGCCATGAATGAGACCAGGGGTCTCCATTCCAAGAAGCCCTGAGGGGAACCTGGCCCCGGCTGTCCAGAAAGATCTGTTTTTCAGAGAGCTGGCCAAATTGTTCTATCAGCCACATTTACCACATGCTTAGTCTGCCGCCCAGGCAAGATCTTTTCTGCATCTTTCAATGCCTTCAAGGTAGTAATCCCCAGAGGGTAAGGAGGCCCAGAGCTCGAGGGAGGTTCTCCAGTATTGCATTCAGCCCCGCCTCTCCACCTGCTCCTGTCAGGCTCGGCCAGCATCACTTTTTGGAGGAGTCTTCACTCCCTGATCTGCGTCCTCAGTCTGCCCCACCCAATATCTCTGACTGGAATATGTATGTGATTCTCCTTGAGAGACATGGCCCCTATGCGAGGCTTAGAGGAGCCTTCAGGGGATACCTGGTATTTCTGCCTTCCTCCTGGCCCATTCAACACACAGCCACATCTCTGGCATCAACAGCCTGCTTCCCTCAGGAGAATTCCCCTTTGCTCACTATCAACCCCTGGCATCCAGCTGGCCAAGGTAAGGCATGTAACCCAGGCTCAGCCTGGGCTCTCTCAAGTTCTTCTTCCCTTGAGAGTGTCTAGGTTGCTAGCACATGTGGGGAGGAACTGGGCCCTCTTTGCTCACTGTAGCTCCCATCCCACCTCACTGACAGAATATACTTAAGAATGGAGTTACTGAAAGAAGGCTCAATGGATAGAAACACGACAGTGAAACGTTGGGATGGTAGCAACTAAGCAGCTAGATCAAGCTGTACCTGAAACCTCTTTGCCCTCCTTGCTTAGGCCAGTTTACCTGGTTCTCTGATAACTTGCAATCAAGAGACCAGGCTGGCACAGCTGTGAGTGCTTGGGAAATGGGAGAGATCCAAGAATGGATATGTGGCCAATCCCAGAAGAGACTCTACACTCCCAAATCCCAGTCTGGGCTCTGCCCAGCAAGCTTCTAACACCTGTCCATCATTTCTCCTCACCTCTCCTGTTGAGCACCTGGGTCAGATCCTCCACCAGTCTGGCAGCCTCTTCACTGCTCTCTGGATACTGGGCCCCCACCCAGGCCTGGATCTCTGCGGGGAGCATGCTCAGGAACTGCTCCAGCACCAGCAGTTGGAGCATGTCTTGGGCTGTAGCCACTGGAGGCACAGCTCATGCAGTTGGGCCAGGGCCTTTTGGGGACCCGTTGCTTCCTGATATTGGAACTGCCGGAAGCGCAGGCGTGCAGCCTCTGGAAGAGCAGAGAGGCCGTGGAGGCTGGATTCAGGCCCCTGGGAGAAATCTACTTCATCATCTTCCACCTTCACTTGGAGGAAGCTCTCCTGTTCCCAGGGTGTCAGGCTCAGGGGGCTCCTGGGGGCAGCCATTGAGAGCAGCACTCTGGTGAAACTCAGGTTTTCAGGAATCTTGGAAGTAGGACTGCAGGGAGATCAAAGGTATGTCACTATGTGGAATCTGAGGTCCTGCCCCACCAGGACCTAATCTACTAATCTACTTTCTCTATGGATTTGTCTTTTCTGGATGTTTCTCAGAACCTGTAACTAAAATCAATGTAAGCAGTGGTGGGATTCAAATAATCTAACAACTGATTCACTGCCCTAATGGCCGTTTTAGGTATTAAAAAAAATGACACACTGAAAAGTAATTTATTATTTCACATAGTTAATAATTAATAAGAGCAATAAAAGAGGCAAACTAGATTATACTGTAAGACTTTTGGCATCCTCACTTGCAATATTCTTCACTTTTATCCAAGCATCATTGGCTGTGTAATTTATACTTAACCTTTTTTTTCACAATAGGAGTAGGATCCCATCCTTTTAGAGGTAGGCCAATTAGACAATAGTCAATGTGTTTGATATATTAGAAGCAGGCGACTTCTCTTCTCTGAACATGTATGTTCATCTTTGGAAACCCCTTTCCGCTTTACTGAATGCACAGCAATTGTTCTGACAATATTTTCAGCTCTCTGACCACTTTCAGGAATTGAATAATCCACTGATAATATCTTATGGGAATTTGGGGGGGTCACACAAAACTGACACTTTTTCTCTTTATGGCATATGTTTGTTTACTGAAGTAACAAATGCAAGGGAATAAAAATGTATTATTTCATTAAAAGTATAAGTTTTATGAAACAAATAAATAAATATTACAAGTATAATACCCTCTGATTTTTTATACCTCTGGACAGAATGAAATTACTACAGGTGCTCAGAATATAGTGCAGCACAGAAGAATGTTAAAAAAGAGTAAGGAATAAATTTGTGATTTCCACATCAGGTGGCTGCCCGGCTGCCCACTTGAGAGAGAACCATCATTACAAGTGCTATTTGAACAACTAGTTTTCCAAACTCAAATAAGCTAAATGCCACCACTGTGAATATAAGCCAAAAAGTATTGCTACAAGATCATAGAAGTCTGTATTAAACAAAAATGTCAAAATGTGAAGCTACTGTTTTTCAACATATTCTCTATCTGAAGGTGGTGTTTCTATCTCTTTAACTCTTCTCTGAAGAATTTTGCACTTAATAATTTACACCTCATCTTGGATACTTATCTCCCTTAAAACCCATAGTTTTCATCTGTAAAAGTGAATAAAAATACCTATCTTTGGTGTTGTCCTGAAGATTAAATTACTTTAATGACAAAATAATAATAATAATAATAATTTACACCTCATCAAAACAGCAGTTTCAGCATTCTCAATATATGAGAGCAAGTCAAATCATATTTTTCAAGATTTCGGAACAAAAAGAAGTGTGAAGAGGCAAGATCAGGGCTGTACAGAAGATGGGGTAAGGTTTTCCAAAGAAATTATCATAGTTACAGTTGTTACTACCCTGGAAGAATGAGCAGATGCAGAGTTGTAATGGGAAAAATTCCTTGGCATAACTTTCCTGGCCTTTTCCTCACCAATGCAATATTCAATTTTCTTAAAACGTTTTCCTAACAAGCCCTGGTGATTGTCTTGTTTCCTTTGAGAAAAATCCTTCAAGATTACCTCTTTCAAATCTTCAGAAACAGTTCCCCTGACCACCTTCTTCTTCTTTAGCATTGATAATATTTATTTATTTTTAAAATCATTTTATTGTGGGCTTGTACAACTCTTATCACAACCCATCCATCCATCCATTGTGTCCAGCACATTTGTACATTGTACTTGAGCCCTTGGTATCAGCTCATTTTTAACCCCCTTCTTCTTTTTAAAAAAAGTGTCCGTGGCCTTCTGAGCCGACTTCTCTGCCTTGAATTTAACAGGCTCAGCGAATCCCCTTGGAACCTACTGTTTTGATTGGACCTGTTTTGGAAAGCACTCTAATGAGAGTCAGACAAGCGTTTTATTGAGACACCGTGCTGCGGCGATTCCCTGCTCACTGGGACATGTTTAAACACATGTTGTTTGGAATAAACCCACGCATGTATGAACTAGAACCCTGACAGCAGTACTCTTTGACTTATTCTTGTCTGGTGTATGGCGAGGAGGAGGAGGGACTGGTTGGCATAATGGCAGAGATGGCTTCAATGCCCCTTTTTGCCCCTTTCATGCTCCTGGAGCTCCTGTTCGGGGCAAACCCCTGATGGCCCATCTCTAAGACACACCTCATCTGCCTGCTTGCTGCCGATCGCTGGCCAGCCGGGCTACAGCTGTACAACCAACCGAGGAAGGCAGGGCTTCATGCCGGCCCTCACTTGTACACGGGCTGATAACGGTACTTACTTCGGAGGGCTGCCGCCAGGTTACCTCAGGTGACCGACGACGGGCATCCATGCGAACGTCCCCTCTGATGGCTCCACAGTTCTGCCACACTCCAGTGCACGGAAGGGAAGGTGCTGGCCGATGGACGCAGGTACACCCAGCCAGGTGGCCCTCAGTGGCACCCTTTCTGTTGCAGACACAGCAAACAAGGATTGCTCTCACCGACTCCAAAGCCCACTCAAATCTTGGTCGTCCACCCCCAAGGGTCGCCAGTCACACAGTCACGGGCACCCACATGATCTTAAACACCGGGTCTGTCCCTCAGGCCCCCAAATCTCTCCAGTCATCCCTACTCACACAGTCCGATTCCCTAGGAGCAGACGGTGACCTGCCACAGGCATTCAGAATCTCTCCTCGACGGCACCTCGGTCATACCTGGAGGCACACACAGCCACAGACCCCCCCGGTCACGCAACGCTCCCGCCACTCGCCTAGAAACCTCACGTCAACGACGACAGATCTCCCCGAGGCACACGCCTCCCGTGGGTCAGACCCTCCGGCCGGCCGTCAACGCCACAGCCCCAAGCTGTCCCTCAGAAGCTCACCCCCAAAGGTGTCGGACGCACGCACAACCGGCCCATCGCCCCCACACTACGTCACACACCTCGCACCCAAACCCATCCGTCCGCCAGCCCCACGCGCACTGGAGTCCCGTCAGAGCGTGCACAGGCGGGCGGTGAGCGGCGCCTCGCTCGGCCGCCGGTCTTGCACACACAGACTCCGCGCTCGCCCCACCGCAGTGTCCTCTCAGCTCGTTCGGCCCCTCGCCCTCCTGCCACGGGTCCCCATAACCACTCGGACCCTACCCACCTCCCGGGTGCGGCGGGCGGGCACTTCCGGGAGCAGCGGCGGCGGCGCCCCCTAGTGACGGGAACGCCTGCCCGCCCGGACTACAACTCCCAGCACGCCTCGCACCACCCTCTCCCCCAACCCCCACCGGTCACCGGCCGCTTCACGGTCTCCAGCAGCCCGAGATCCCCCGGGAGTTGTAGTTGCCGCGGGCGCGCGGGCTCAGCCTTGTGGGGTGGTGCTGGCGGGTGCTGAGGCTCCGGCGGTGCGGGCCGCGAGGGGTGCGTGAGCGAGTGAGGGGCCATGAGGTGGTGGAGGCGCCTGGGGTGGCGTGGGGGATGAGGGTCCTGATGTGGCCAGTGTGAGAGATAAGGGTGCCGGTGGAGGCGGGAGCGCTGCAGGCGGGGTTGAGGGCCTGAGGTGAGGGGTGTGCGTGCTCGGCGAGGTGACGTGAGGGGCGGGGTGTAAGGGATGCCGGGGTGTGAGGGGCAGTGAGCTCGTGTGCAAAGTGTGTGCAAGGTGTGTGTACTGGGGTGAGAGGTTTGAGGGAGTGTGGTGAGGGGGTGGGGGTGCCATTATAAGAAGTAGGTGTCGTGGGGGTGACTGTGTGTGTGAGAGAGACCTGGGGAGGCAGCTGGGTGGGTGTGCCTGAAGTTATTGAATATTATTTGTTACTTCTTTAGTTATTATTAATTTACTTATTTCTTATGTTTCTCATTTACTTTCATTATTATTTGAAACTGATCTCATTTTTCTCAATGTCTAACATGCGATTTAAATTTTTCTTATTTATTTTTTAGTTATTACTTCCTTTAAAAGTTTTTTTTTCTTTATTGTAAATTAGGTGAAAGTTTAAAGAGGTCATCCGTTTTACATTCAGCACCTCACATTGAGCCTCCCATGGTCTTGTCCTGTTTCCATCATTTTGTTAGTTATTTTCATGTATTTATTGATTTGCATTTATTATTTTCATTTTATTTGTTATTCATTTTATACATTTTAGTGACTTATTTTTAAATTGATTAAATTGTTTTAAGACATGATCACATACCCTACAGCGCACCCCTGTAGTATGTATTGTTGTTGTTTTGAATATATTCACATAGTTGTGCAGCCACCACCACAATCACTTTCAGAGTATGTTTTCCTTCACAACGAATGAACCTGATTTATAACTTCCATGTGTTAGGACGTTATCGAGCCTCTCGGGTGATAGGGCTCAGCTGATGAAATTGCAAACCCCAGAGCCCTTGGGTGGAATTATCCTTGGTAGTGGGAGGAGAAAGCAGGAACGCAGTTTCGCCGGGATAGGCAGCACCAGGGAGAATGACAGAAGTCAGAGAGGGTGGAAGCTACGTTAAGACGTTTGCCCAACATCATTCAGTGGGGAGGTAATAGAGCTGGGATTTGAGACTTGTATCCCAGATGTCCCCAGGAAAGAGGACATGTAGAGTGGGCACCAAGTCTAGGGAACTGCAACATTCAAGGGGATGGTAAGGGTTGGCCCAGGAGAGGTCCGATTCTGATCATGGTGGGGGAAGAGACAGATGTTAGCATGGATTTGAGGACATTGAGGGTAGACTCTTCATTTGGGGAACTCGCTTGAGGGGAGAGAGGGCAGCAGCTGACGGGGAAGGTGTGAGGAAGAGTGAGGGGGAAGAGCCCTCCCTGGCTGACAGGGATTGACGAGTATGGAGCGACTCTGGAGCGACTCGGACAGTTGATGGCTCACTTCAGTGACTTCTCTGAGATGGTGAGTCTGTGGTTGGGGCTGGGAGGCCGAACCCCGTCTGTGGCCAGGGTGTTTTCAACCGAGACGGATTTGTCAAATAAATACAGTGACACCTCGGTTGTCAAACTCCATTCATTCCAAATCCATGTTCACCCAAACACCAAAAAGTTCCAGAACTGAACATATTTTTCCCATATGGAAGAATGGAAAACCAAATAATTGGTTCTGAAGGTCCCAAAGTACACATATGGAAACGTGACACAAGTGATGTGGGGTGAGTGCATGCTGTTGGGAAGATGGCTTCCTGTAGGGTTGCCACAAACCTGCAACTTGCTCAAAATGCGACCGCTGCGAAGCACAATAAGGCAAAGTTCAGTAAGACAAGGCACAGGTGACTGCATTTCTTAATTGTGTAAATAGGATTATACAATGTGTAGTCTTTCGTCACTGACGTTTGGGGACACGGTGCCACAGGCACGAGGACCCTGGAGCCCAGGAGGTACAGCCACTGGGTCTCCGAGGTACCACATCTCATGAATGGGATGGGGAGTTCTCCACCTCTGCTGCACGCCTGTGCGGCTCTCCAAGGCCACTCCCTGAACCTTGCGAAATGAGGACAGTGATCAGACAGTGGGGTGGGAGGCTGGAAGAAAGTGCCACCCCTTCCTTCCTGAGGGGTGGTCAGGCGGGAGGTCCAGCTAGAAAGAGCTCTGCAAGGTTGAGGCATGGCCGCTCTGCGCATCCCTTTCCTCCGGGGCAGAGAAGTGACAAGGGCCCCTGCCTGTGAGGAGGCAACAGTAGAGGAGCATTCCACCAGGGACTGATCTCTGGTCGCATGGTTAGACGGAAAGGTTTGCAGGAGCTTGGCTGGCCAAGGGCCAGAGGCCAGTAGGTAAAGGGGTCTTTGGAATGAGGAAATCCCAAAGGCATCTGTGTGCCAGGCTGACAGAATGGTTCACGGGAGCAGAGTCCCACAGGATGCATTCGCCCCATACAGCCAGAGACCCTTTATGGTCTCTTCCCAGTTACCACTTACTCTCAGTCCTCTCACCCCAAACTCTGGTGGGCTAGAGCTGTCTCCCTCCCCACTCTCTCCCACCAACTGCTGATTAAGGGAGCCAGGGGCACCAGCTGCAAGGAGAGACTGAACCTTGAGTTGAGAGTTCTCTTCCCTCCACTCCTGGAGGAAGTGTCCCTGGTGGGCTGTCCCAGTGACCTGGGAATGCAGGCTTGATGCACACACACACACACACACACACACACACACACACACACACACACACACACACACACACATGCACCCATTCTCAAATGCACCCACTTGTACTCAGTCACAGCACAGTGAGTTGTGTTATGATTTGGGCTACTAACTGTAAGGCTAGCAGGAGACAGACGAGGCTCTCTATTCCTATCACGAGTTGACCTGACAACTGTGCAGGGGCAGTTCTACCCTGTCGCACAGGGTCCCTATCAGTTGGAATCAACTCAAAGGCAGTGAGTTTTTTAATACTCAGCTATATTCTCACACACTCCCATGTATTCCTGTACTGCTGAGCAGACTTGAGGAGCTCATGACCACAGGTGGCTGAGGGCACAGAGAGGGAAATAGATGGATCTGGTGGGAGATGTGGGTGGCGTAAGGCAGGGCCTGGGTGATCCAGCTGTGTTGCAGGCTCCTGGTGACTTTGGGGCCAGTGTGGCCCCCTAAGGTTGCCTTCACAGTCACAAGTCATGTCCCTATTGGGCCATGCCGGCAGCTTTCCTCACTGGAAGCAGATTGGGGTACCCTGTGCCAACCCCAGACATCTGCCCGACCAGACACCCACCCATGCACCCTGAGTTTCAGTGCCATGCTATGGGGTCCAGGAAGATTTCTGGAGTCATGGACAGAACCAGTCATCCCACAGCGGTGGGGACCGTGGCCACTGGGACATCATCTGGGAGGGCTCGGAGTTTCTTAGTAACACAGAGGCTTCGGACAACACAACTCTTTTGTTACAGTTCTGGAGGCCCGGAGGTTGACTCAGGTCCTACCTGATGAAAATCAAGGTGTGGGCAGGGCTGTGAGCCTCCTGAAAGCTCTCAGAGCAGCTTTACCTTCTGGAGGCCACTTGCATTCCTTGGCTTTTGTCCATTTCCCCATCGTCAAAGCTCAGCCTTTCAACTCAAGCTTCCAATGTCACTTTGCCGTCTTTCCCTCTATGGAACGCTCCCTCTGCTTTCCCTGTCAGGCTCCCGTGAAGACATCTACTGCACATCTGGATAGTCGCATGATCCTTAACTTAATCACATCTGCAAAGCCTCTTACCACAAACAAGTGCCAGAGGCTGGCGGTGATCTCGTTGTCATCACCATTGTCAGACAGAATGAAGCCTGTCGGATCCATCCTGACAATCGTTGCCATTGTCATTGCAGCCACTGTGTCCATCCATCTCATTGAGGGTCTTTCTCTTCTTTACTGACCCTGTGCTTTACCAAGAGCGATGTCTTTTTCTAGGCATGGGCCCCTCCTGACGGCATGTCCGAAGGACGTGAGATGAAGGCGAGCCATCCTCACTTCTGCAGGCTGTGCTTCTTCCAATTCAGATATCTCCATATTTCCAGTGGTATAGTCGATATCCTTCACCAGCACCATGATGCAGAGGTACGATTCTCCTGTCTTCTTTTTTTTTTTTTTTTTTTTTTTTTTTTTAAGACTAGTCAAGTGCAGCAGTGAGGGGGGGTAGACAAATAGGTCGACCAGTAATTGACTGTAAGCAATCGTTGTGAGATCTCACTACCTTCGGACCAGCCATCTCCTGTCTTCTTTATTCATTGTCCAGCTCTGGCATGTACATTAGGTGCGGGTCCGGTGTACCTTATGCCTCAAAGTGACGTCTTTGCATTTTAACACTTTGCAGTAGGATCTCTTTGGGGGCCACTATTCAGATTCCCATGGAGGGGAAGTATCAGTTCCAGGAAGGAGGGGGGGATTTCCAGCTGGAGAGGGGGAGGGGGCAGGTGCCCGAGGACAGGCCAGCAGAAATGGGACCCAAGTGTCTGGACGTCAGACACAGGGCCCACTGCAGTCTCAGGGGCATCTGTATCACCAGCAGCAGCACGCCTGGGTTCTCACAGTGAGTCTACACAGAGTCCCTGTGAGTAGGGACTAATTCAGTGGTACCTAATAACAACAAACAGGTTTGCCACTATTTTCTCTTTGAGGATCTGTGTCAAGATTTACAGTCTCAGAACTCTCTGGGTCGCTGTGAGTCAGAATCAGCTCGATGGCAGGGGGTTTGGTTTTATTTATTCAAGAGACTCTCGCTTCTCTAGCCAGTGGGTAAGAGAGTACACTTGTTTTAAACAACCCACTTTTTGGTCATTACAGTTGCCCTGGAAACGAATGCACAGGGGTTCGAAACACGGCAGGTGTGTCAAATACTTCAAGAGATGAATCAGTTGGCTTCCAAGTGGGTTGTGCCTCCTGGGGCCTCGTGTGTCACAGGAGAACCGTGTGCTGGGAATACTTCAGGGTGGGTGTAGACTGCCGACCTGTGGGCTAGCAGCAAGTCACTCAATTGCGTGCACCATCACAGGCTCCTGCAAAGGGCTTATAGAGTGCAGACAAAAGTCTCACATGCGAGCAGCTGCCTCAGTGGACCTTTAGGAAGTCTTCATACAGAAGCTGGGAACAAAGACATTGTCCATCTTACCCCCACCTCTTAAAAATAAAACCAACCTACTGTCATCAAGTAGATTCTGACTTATAGCAATGCTGAGAGAGTGTTTGTAGGGCAGTACCACAGGAGTAGACAGCTCATCTTGTTCCAGCAGAGCCGCTGGTGGTTTTGAACTGCTGACTTTGTAGTGTGCAGTCCAATGCTTACCCACAGCGCCACCAAGGGTCCCTTGTTCCTCTTTTAAAGAGATGGACCTTGTGACACTCATTTCAATATATTAAATATATAAAACTAACTTTAAAAAAACAAATAGTTTAGGCTTAAGAAAGAAAGAAACCTTCCTTTTTGTGAGAGAGGGAAAAAAACCAGATAATTGGCAGATAATTGAAAGAGCATCTTTTAAAGATAGCTTCTTTTCAAAAATTTAACTTTAAAAAAAGAGATCATTTTATTGAGGGCTCTTACATTTTTTATAACAATCCATATTGTATAACGCCTATTTGTACATATGTTGCCATCATCATTTTCTAAACAGTAACTTTCTATTTGAGCCCAACTTTTTGTTGTCGGCAAAAACAAGTTCTGCTGAAGGGCGCTCACACCTGCAGGCCTCTCCTGCCACCTGGTGGGCATCCGTATGAACTGCATGATGGAGTAGCATGGTGGAGAGGGGCTAGTTCCACCTTTGAAAGCAGTGGCTCCGCTGGTGCGCATGAGGACTGAGGAACTGCTGAAGGGCTTCGAGAACTCAGTGTCGGTGTAGGGCTTCTCACCGCTGCAGACCTGCCGGTGCTGGGCCAGGGAGGCGCTCTGGCTGACCGTGCGCCCACACACGACACACACATAGGGCTTCTCCCCTGGGTGTACCTGTTGGTGCTTTGCCAGGGAGCTGCTCTGGCTGAAGGCTCGCCACACTCCGGCACATGTATGGCTTCTCGCCTGTGTGACAGCGCTGGTGTTTGGCCAGCGATGAGCTGAGGCTGAATGCCTTGTGGCACCTGTGGCACTCATAGGGCTACTCCCCATTGTGGGCCCTGCTGTGGATGAGGGGCACCGAGGAGACGGCAAAGGCTTTCCCACACTGGCCGCAGGCGAATGGCCTTGCCCCCGTGTGGGCTCGCCAGTATTTTTGGCTGGAGGTGCGCCCTCACTCCCGGCCCATGTGAACCCCGTCTCCGTGACCCTGAGACCAGAACTAGATGGCGCCTGGCTGTAGACCATTCTGAAAGGAGATTACAGTAAAAAGCCCTGGAGAGCACAGGAAAAAATCATGGAACAAAACTCAAAGCAATGAAGAAGACCAGGCTTACTGGTTTGATAGAGGCTGGTGGAACCCCTAAGATTATGGCCCTTGGTCACCCTTCAGTCCTTGAACTGAATTCATCCCTCAGACTTACCTTTCAACTAAAGGATAGGCAGGCCTAGAGAGTGAACAACAATGTCCGGGAGAGACACACTCGAGAGCAGTCAGCCACGGGCCATCCCAGGGAGAAGAAGGTGAATGCAAGTGGGAGACCGAGGGAGCGAGTGAGGAGAGTGCTGACATTGTGGGGGTTGCACTCAATGTCACCAAGCAAAATGTGTATGAATTGTTGAGGGGAAAATCAATTCTATAAACTTTCACCAAATCACAACAAAACAGTACCAAAAAAAAAAAAAAGTGGAAGCAACCCAAGTGCCTGTCTGTGAATGAATAAATAAAGAACATGTGGTCCACTCGCACAACAGGCTATTATTCACCCATGAAAAGCATGAAGTGTTAATCCTTGCTACCATGGCAACGAGTGAAGTATTGTGTACAAGCTACAAAACTTGACGCTGGGTGACGGAAACCCTGGACAAGAGGCCACTGTGGCAGTTACATGATCTCGTGTCAACTTGAGGGAAGGGGTGGGGTCTGGCCTGTCAATCAGATCATAGCCAATGATGCCTCTGTGTGGGCATGGCCTTCTGAGGATTCTGGGAACTCCTGTCTTCCTCCCTGAAGGTGGGACACACTCTCTCTGTGAGACATTCCTGTTGACAAGCCAGATGGAACTATGCTGATGGCAGCCAAAGCCTTGGAGCTAGAGGAGCCACGTGGAGACCCACGTCAGCCCTGAGATGCTTCCACCACCACTGGATCCACACGACTTTCCACCCACTGGCCTGTGATCTTCCTGCATTCAGTGTCATTGCATGTGTTGCGTGAGTCTGAAGAGGAATTTATACACTGGTATTAGACATATAGGCTAATATAAGACTTATGGACTTGATCTGGACTGGGCTGGGATATTTTCTTAATATACAGTTACTCTTTGATATAAAGCTCTCTCTTACACATGAGAGCCTCTGGATTTGTTTCTCTAGTCTACCTGGACTAACACAGCCACGTCCCATAGGATTCTACTGATGTGAAATATAGAAAACCCAAAACCATAGAGACCAGTGTGTTAGTGTTTGCAGGGCGTGGGGATGAGTGAGCGGGAGGGACAGCTAACGAGTATGGGTCTGTAGGGGCTCTGCACCTAAGAGCCATTTGATCATCCCAAATGGAGGAAACATTGCCCTGGTCCCATCTATAAAAAGCAAAACCCTGCTGGTGTCCAGTCAGTTACGGCTCATGGCAGCTCTGGTACTGCCACAAAACTGAGCTCCATGGGGCCTTTCCATCTGTAAATGATCGACAGAACTTCTTCCCTGTGCCTCCAGGGAGACGGGAACTCCCGACCTCCTGATTAGCAGTCACGCACCCACGGGGACTTCTGAGCCCTCTGCGCCATTGTGGGCATTGCCATTATTGGATGGTTGAGTGGAAAACCCAATTTGCTCTGAACGTTCACCCCACTCACAACAAAATTAGAGAACAAACCCTGACACAGCCCTTCTCCGAGGTAACAAATGGGTGGCCGTGAGTCAGGATGGACTCAGTGGAAAGCAGCAGCAATGTCACGGGGATGGGCCTGCTTTGGGGGGCCCATGGCAATAATAACGTGCTGGCCCAGGAGTCCTACTCCATGGTGATGCCTCCTGACTGGGTGCTGGGCTCTGTAGCTCCAACAGGGACACCTGGGCTCTGCCTGCACCAGCCCCAACCTGAGTGTCCAGCCCAGCCTCCCTCATTGCACAGTGGTGCCCCCCACCCATCCCCACCCCCAAGGCCCTGAGAAGGTCCTGTCTGGTGGCCATGTTACTGATTTTAGAATCTCATCTTCTACTCCCCCCAAAATAATGATAAAAATAAAAACGAAGAGTGAGGGGAAAAAAAGGATCCCATCTTCAACTGTATGTCTTAAAACCCCTGCCCCCTGACTCTACACCAAGAGAAGGGAGACGGGGCACCTCCCTCCCCTCATTCACTGCTAATACTGGCCTGTGGGCCAGGCCCAGCTCAATCCTTTTCACTGACAAGACTGATAAACATTGGCCACAAAGAATGCCTGCAGCCCAAAGTGGCCTCAGGGAGCCCTATGCAGAGGTCCCTGGTCAGTGATGCTGCTCCAGGTCATGCCCACATCTCTAAGCCCTACTATAAGGTGTCCCAGTGGCACAGTGGTTACGGGCATGAGCCTGCTCACTGAAAGGCTGCCCCTTCAACCTGATGTGTTTGATTGTTCTAACCTATCGATCGTTTGGTGAAAAGTCGGCCCATAGATCCGCAAAAATGTCAAGACTGAAATCTCCAGGGGTACCACGGGTGGGTTTGAACCCTGTAAGACTAGCACCAACCCACAGATTGAGGGCAGTTACTACCAACATCCCTCTCCTGACCCTTTAGAGCAGTGGTTCTCAACCTTCCAAATGCCGTGACCCTTTACTACAGTTCCTCATGTTGTAGTGACCCCCCAACCATAAAATTATTTTCGTTGCTATTTCATAACTTTCATTTTGCTACTGTTATGAATCTGGTGACCCCTGTAAAAGGGTCATTCAACCCCCAAAGGTCTCTCGGCGCCCAGGCTGAGAACCGCTGCTTTAGAGTGTATCTGCCGTCCATTCAGCT